TAAGGAAACCTTCCTATACATATCTTATAAGAGCTAAAGCTAATGCAAGAAAATGAGCCAGCCACTCATTTCCCTCTGTTGTGGATCATCTCGTCTCTCAGAACTGAGTGGGATTCAGATGGTTACACTGAAAGGAGCAGAGAGACACTCATTCCCAATACCATTTACTTGGGTGCTTGGGGATGGAAAGTAGCTGGGTAATTCCTGGGAATGGGAGAAATATGTGGACCATGGACATGTGGATGGGCACACATACCCCCTCCTGGCCTGACCCAATGTTAGGTTTTCAGATACCAAAGAACCTATACCACAAAAGACTTTGAAAGGAGAACAGAGTGAAGGTCAAGTGTAGGCACAGGCACTCCCAGGGATAATGGACCCTAGAACCAGCCACAAGGGATGGGGTTCTCACTGAAGACACAGCAGTGCTACATCCTTAGATAGTTGTGGGCAGACAACCATGGTAAAGAAGCATGTGGCAGAAGAACTTAAGAGAACTGGTATAGTGCATGGTCCTTCCCAGCGATACCCTGTGGTAAGAGGCAAGGGCAAGGGAGAATCAAGGCAATCCTGGCAAGAGCTCTCAGATAAAATGATAGTGTGACAAGCCAGGTGTGATGACGCATGCCTGTAAACCCAGAACTCATGAGGCTGAGGCAGTAGGAGGCCACAAGCTTGAGGTCAGCCTGGGCAGTGAGTTCAAGGCCAGTCTGAACTACATAGTGAGACCCTGTCCGAAAAAGCCTAAATAAATAAATATTTTTTTTTTGGTACCGGGCATCGAACTCGGGTCCTTGTGCTTGCAGGGCAAGCAGCGGAACCACTGAGCTAAATCCCTGGCCCAGTAAATAAATTTTTTAAAACGACAGTGTGACAATGTTTGGGACATGCCTATGTCTTCAGTTGTTTTCCTAACTACCTGAAAAAGTACTTTCTCTTTTTCATACTACAAATTAACTAGAGACGGGAAATTTCCCATGTAAGTAGCCAGCCTTGGTGCTGAAGATAGACATGAGTAGGAATGACTTCCTCCTCCTCTTTACTTCCCCTTTCTCCTCCAGAAATATAGACATTTGATCTCAAATGAGCCATATGTTGTGTAGTAGAAATGGTCTGGTTTATCTTTACATTTATGGTCAAAGTAGTTTTGTTTTGGGGTTTTTGTTTTTTGTTTTTTGGGTTTTTTTTGGTACCAGGGATCGAACTCCGGTCCTTGTGCTTGCGCAGCAGGCGGTGAAACCACTGAGCTAAATCCCCAGCCCTATCTTTATATTTATGAATGCACTGTTTTTTATTTCTCCCTCCCTCATTACTCCTGCCTCTATGACCACCATCATTTTCCCCCTTCTGGTTTCCTGTCCCCCATAAAAAGACAATTTTTTCCTATAAGCTTTTAGACTTATCAAAAAAAATAGCATGACCACTGACTGAAAGGTTTTCTGACCCTTTGAGGTCCACCTCAAGGATGAAAGTTTCTTTATTCTCCACTCTTTCCTGAAGGGCATAAATGGTGGGGCTATTCTTGCAATTCAGTTCAATAGGCCACTGGGGGCAGCCAGGAGCCAGAAAGGAGACAAGCTCGGTCTCCCTCCCACTCCCCAGCACCCTCTTCCTCGCCCTCAGGGAAACACTTGTCTCTGTCCCTCAACATTCCTAGAACTTTCACTCTCCGCTGAGGTCAGCAACATATTTAAAGTATTTGTTTTCATCCTGTTCCCATCAGTAAGATTTAGTTTAACGGAAGACATGCCTAAGGGAAATTCCATTCACTTTTCTTCTGGGAAATGAGCTGCTTTATTTTCCAAACCCAAATCCTGAACCTAACATTTCTGGTAAAGTTAAAAGGTCCGTGATTTTATTGAAACAAAGCCACACACATCTTAGGCAACCTCACATGTTGTTCACGTTAACACGTGACGTTCTCTTAACTATTTAATAAAGTCTTAACAATTTGAAGTTTCATGTTTTAAAATTGCGCATCCTCTAAAGCAGGGTAAAGTTAGAAAGCACGCAGTCTCAATGAACTTAAATCTCACTGTCTCAATGAATTTGAACAGCTCAACAGCGTCCCCTGGTGGTCGTGAGTACAGACACAGGGAGCTTCAGCAAATAAGGCAGATTTAGCCTCAAAACAAGGTAGAAATAAGGGTCTCATCAAGACGAAACCCTTTTCTCCCTACTCAAAAAGTATGACATGTTAACTGAAGTTAGAAATTCAACCCACACAAATATGGCAAGGACCAAGAGTAGGAGACTGAATAGCTATTGTTTTGATAAGTTGTCATGAGAAGGAATAACCAAATAGAATACTATTTTTCTCTACAGCTCAAAATGTGGTGAATTTTTCTTCCATGTAAAATCTTTATTAACTAATCAGACACCTCCTCAACACCTATATCACCCCTACAGTAATCATTCAGCCACTACAGATAGACAGATACAGACATAGATATATAATGTTTGCTGTCCTCTCAGTACAATTCTTATATGTTGGAGATTCAATACAGAAACACAGACAAATATCTTCGCATTCAAAGAGCTCCTGTTTTAGCAGGGGAGGAAGACTATAAACAATTAAACAAAAAATATTTCAGAAAACAAGATGTATGAAGAAATTCAAAGGCTGGGGCTGTAGCTCAGTGTTGGTGCACTTGTCTAGCATGAAGAAGGCCCTGGGTTGGAGTTTCACCACTGGGAAAAAGGGAGGGGGAAAGGGGAGGGGGAGGAGGACGGCAGGAGGAGGAGGAGGAAAAGGAAGAAAGTCAAACAGGCAAATGGATACAGAGTAATGGAGTGAGACTAAGGAGGGTATTTATGAAAGGATGGTCATGGGAACCCTAACAGTGCTATGGACTGAATGTGTCTCCCAAATTTCATGTGCTGGAAACTTAATCCTAAAGACATATGTTAATGGTACAAGTATTTGGGTACTCAGATTTGAGAGGTAGGAACTTAGGGAGGTGTGACTGGGTCATGGTCATGAGGGCTCTCCACTCTTGAATGGATTGATCCATCTGTGGATTAACGGGTTATTAAGGGAGTGGACTTGAATAAAACCAAGCCCTCAGTCACATTTGCTGTACCTTGCCACGCAATGCCATCCATCATGCCCTCAGAAATGCTTTCCACAGATCTGAGCAGATGCTGGTGCTATGCTCTTGGATATCCAAAACCATAAGCCAAATAAAATTCTATTCTTTATTAACTACCCAATCTATAGTGTTCAGTTTTAGCAACTGAAGAAGGACTAAAACAAAGATGGTGGCATTTGAGGAGATAACTGAATGATTATGAAAAAGCCATGCAGAAAAAGCATCCCAGAAAGAATTATGAGCAAACAGGAAGACTTGGATGCAGGGAAAAGGTTGACCCAGTTAAGGACTAGCAAGAAGGCCAAGGGGACAGGTGGTGCTTCGTGAGCAAAGAGGAGAGTGGGAGCAGATGTATTCAATGACGTAGGCAGGGGCCAGGCTACATGTTCTGGGCTTCGGAATTTGGATTCCATTCTAACCTAAATGGAAACTCACTGGAGAGCTTTAGCTGGTGTTGACGTGCTCTTATACTCATTTTTAAAAGTGCACTCTGGCCGCTCAGCAATCTTCTTACAGTCACAGGGAAGACTAGGACTGAGGTCCGGGGTTGAGGGTGGTACGAGTGAAAGCAGGAAAACAGACAGTTGCTGCAGGAGTCCAAAACAGCAGTTGCTGCTTCAATCAGGTTGGTAGTGGCAAAGGCAAAGAAGGGGGATAAGTGGTTGAATTCAGAATATATTTTGAACAGTAAACAAACAGGGCTTGTGAATGGATCAGAAATTTGGGAGTAGGATAAAATCAATTAGGGTTCCTTTTTGGCTTGAGCAGTGAATTGGGGGAATGCCAATAACTGAGTGGAGGTTGAATGGAGACCCTTTCTATAAAGCCATACACAAATGCCTCCCCAGTGAATGAGTTGAGGAGGAACAAGAAAGACATTTCTGTCAAGAGGTTTTAATATAAAGGGAGGCAGAGAGAAGGCAAAGTAGTTGGAGGGCAACATGGGCTCAAAGAAAATGTGTTGATTCTTTCATTCTTTTCATTAACAAGAGAATCCTGAAACATGCTTCACAGTGCCAGGAATAATTCCATATTGGGGGAAAGTGATAATTAGGATCCAATACACAAGTTCAAGGAACAGCAGCTTGAGATAGGAGCAGGGACAGGAGAGAAGGCAAAATATGTGGCATGCGGGTATGAATGGATATTTAGCAGTGGGAGGACCTCACTTCTAATTTCTCAGTGAAACAAGAAGCAAGAAAGCAATCCACAGGATATTCACAGATTTGAACCAATATACAGGGCTCACAAATTTGAAGGGAAAAGAGAAAATGAGTGGAAAGTGAAATTTACTGGGAGTCTACAGTGAAGTTGTCAACTATTTTCTCATTAGTAACTTACTCATAAGCCACTTGCACCAAAATGCCAATTAAATATGTGACTAAGAAACAGTGACAGAAAATCTTTTTTTAAGTTTGAAATATTTTAAATGCTTCAAACATTCAGAAGGAACTTAACCAACAGTCATGTATACACTATACAAATTTAATCAATGTTAATCTTTGTTTCAAACATTTTCTTTTTTTTTTTTGGTACCAGGGATTGAACGCAGAACCTTACACCTTACACTTGCTAGACAGGCACTGGAACCACTGAGCTAAATCCCCGGCCCAAAGTTTAAAGACTTGTTTTTGTTTTTTTTGGTACCGGGAATCAAACTCAGGTCCTTGTACTTGCAAGGCAGGCAGCAGAACCACTGAGCTAAATCCCTGGCCCTGTTTCAAATATTTTCTTGCGAAATAAAACATATAAGTCCCTTAGCACCTCTCTACAATTCCACGTTCTTCCTCTGCTCTTTCTCAAAGTTCATGGTACAATGATAGAAAGCAACAGTGCTCCTCTTTATCCAGGCCTATCAGTAGCGTTGTGGTGATCTGATTAATCCAAATGCTGTTATTTGAGATTTACCTGTTATCTGGGTTGTCAGGGAGATGACCACAGGAAGTTCTGAAGACAAAGCCTGGAGGCTGACATTGTAGTTGGCACCCGGGTGCAGGTCCAAACACATCTCAGGAGACTGGCTGCTGCTAGTGGTATTAAATATCATTTCCTGGGTATATCCCTTCTGATACCATCTCTGGCCCCAGATGCGGAACTGAAACATACAAAAGCTCACATGGTGAACTGCTGGCTTGAAAGGTTCTGAATGCCTCAATACTTTTCCTTTTTGCATGAGTTTTCTCCCCATCCTTCACGCCCTATAAAGTTTCTTCAAAAAGTAAAATGCAATGGTACATAAATAGTAGAGTTCTAATACTATACATATGGTGATAATGATATTGTGAGACTAATAAATATATACTTTTTTTTTTTTTTGGCACCGGGGATCAACCTCGGGACCTTGCGCTTGCAAAGCAGGCAGTGGAACCACTGAGCTAAATCCCCAGCCATAATAAATATATTTTTTAATAAAAATGCCCAAAACACTGAGGTTCCAACACTAGCAACTTGCAGCTTCTTGTTCTCACATACACAGTGCACATGGCCCAAAGCAGAAACTGGTGGCAAAACTGCAGGAACAGGGACAAAGAATATACTCCTAGGAAGAAAATTAAGGATCTGAACTTAGGGCAAGAGAATGATAAAGGATTGGGGTTAAAGTATGTCATGTGTATATACAAATCTGCCAAAATAACCAATATGCACTAATAAAAATGTATGGGAGGGAATCTGAACTAAGCAGCACCTGAATTAAGATACTTCCTACACCTGGGTTTCTCTCTCTCTCTCTCTCTCTCTCTCTCTCTCTCTCTCTCTCTCTCTCTCTTGTCCTTGTGGTGCTGGCAATTTTACCTTGGGCCTTGGGCATGCTAGGTGAGCACTCTGCCACTGAGCTACATCCCCAGTCCTGAACACCTTTTCTTCCTACTTGATGCCTTCTAGTAGCATCCCCTGTATTTCCCTTTCTTATTCACAACCACATCTATCTACAAATGTTCCCTTTGATTCTCCAGGCAGCACATATAGGCCCTGGTCAGAGGTACTGGTGTGAATAGAGACCATCGGATTCTCTCTGTGGATACTGCCCAAGTATCAACTCTACGCCAAAACATGTGAACAAAAACTCTCATGGCTTTCTCATTCAAGATTTCTGCCTTCAAATATGTAGAAATGGCTGTCTTCTTCCTTCTTGTTGGAATTATCTCAATAAATCCTCTCCTGATAACAGCAGCTATAAAAGTAGTTTTTAGATTTGCAGATATTTTTTAAACCTTCCACACACAATAAACATCTATAAATAAAGTAGCTTTCAGTAACTTACTAAATACATCTCTTCTATACCAGCTGTCTTCATACTTCTCCATCTCAAGCAGGTTTCATTAAATACTGAAATGTTCCTGATGGTCTGTTTTACTACACAAGAAAAAGAATGAGAAATAAATTTACCCTCTACACAAAAAAAACCTTTTAACTGAACCATTTTCCAAGGATTCACATTTGCATAGGATAAACAGAGCAGTATTTTAATTTAGAAATTTATAGTAGCAGTCTCTAAGAAACACTCCTATTGTATTTCCTTAAATCAGTCCTGATCAAAGATTTAAGTCCTGAAGATTCTCAATCAGAGAATCTCTTAAAAATTAAGTCTATTCACTGAAAACTTAAGAACCCTTAGTTTACTAAACTTAATAAATCATTGTACTGGGCTCTGGACATCTGCATTTATACAAATAAGTGTCAGTTTGAAATCTGGAAATGAGAGGAACCTATCAACAGAGAATTACTCCTTGAGGAGCTGAGAAATGTCTCAAGTAATCAGCCTTTTCAGATGAAAGGGATGCTTCTCTTGGTTTGAACTTCCACATTTCTTATCATCAAAGAAGCACTATGTGGGGTATGGTGGCGCACACCTGTAATTCCAGCATGCAGGAAGCTAAGGCAGGAGGATCGCTGCAAGTTCAAGGCCGGCCTTGGTTATAGAGTGAGCTAGAGGCCAGCCTTAACTACATAGCGAGACTGTTTCAAAAAACAAGAGGTGGGAGGTGGGGAGAAGAGAAGAGAAAAGAAAAGAAAAAAAAAAAGGAAAAGGAAAGATTTCTTGCCTCTGCTCAGTTTCACAGTAATTGATCTACAGGTTAGTCCAGACCTGGTAGAGTTCACTGCAGAGGCACACCTTTCAAATTTTAAAAACAAAGACTACTTATTCCAAACTCTGATATCAGAAATTACTACTTCCTTTAATAATGATCCCTGCCCCTAAACTGGAAATAATACAGCAGACTTGCTCAGACGTTTCATAGGAATGCTACATGATTAATGATTAATGATTAATAAAGACAACTCAAAGTACCTGAAAGAAAGAAATTCCCACGAGAGGCCGGGCTGTATTGTACTGGCCTGACAGGCTTCTATGAATGAAGCCAAGTTGTTAGATGTGACCCCTTTACCTGGACTGAGCAGGTTTGCACAGAGAAAACCTGTTTCACAGGTCACAACTAAGCTTCAAATGTTGCAGGAGAGAGCAGGTAAACTACAGTTGATTCAGAGTAATGCAACCCCACTGGTGGGTACAGGAGATGGTTATAAAGATTAGCACTACTGGCTCAAGGGACCCTGAGTTTCTGGAGCATTCAAAACACAACTAGTAACAGTTCCAGATCATGTAGAGAGGTGAGAAGTTTCCCAGTTTATTCAATATGACTAGATAAACCACAAGGATGGGCCAACCAATCACTAAACACACTATGCCAAACTCACTTGTTAATGTAGATATAAAAATCTAAAATAAAATATTAGCAAACAGAAGTCAGCAGCACATTCAAAGAACAACATAGCATGACTGAGGAAGATTTATTGCCAAATACAAAGAGGATCTTTACTGGAAAAGCTTTACTATGCTGAAAGGGAAAAGCCATACATTTACTTTTATAATCATCACGATAGTTCCTAACTATCTCAGTTAAAGAGGAATTAATTTGATAGGAATTCCTTAATTTAATAGTGCTGATTAGAAATCACCATTCTCAATGGTAAAATAGGTAATTTCTCATATAGTTAACAACAATACAAGTCCCTTGAAAGGGACTTTTTTAGATATTTTTTCCTAATTGCTCATCTCATTCCCTATAAAATTTTAATGCCACAGATATACTATATGTCTTTTATGCACTATGTTTACCTAGGCTTCATACACAGAGTATTTCTTTATAGGAACCAATTTTTGCCTCCCTGTGGGTGATTTTGTAACCCCCCCAGTAATATAATCCCTATTCAGAATGTTAGAATAGTGAATTGCTGTTTTACTAGCAATAGAATAAATAAATAGATCAATGGAACAGAGCAGAATCCAGAAATAGATATATCTATTCATGAGAATTTAAACAATAGGAATCGTATTTCAAAGCAGTAGGAAACAAATTAGTTGCGAAATAGTTATCTACATGGATATTAGATTCCTACCTGATTTAACAGGCAACAGTGATTTCAGCTAGATTAAATTTTTAAGTTTAAAAATATACTACAACACCAGGCATACTGAAGCGCACCTATAATCCCAGCAAGCTGGAAGGATCACAAGTTCAAGTTCAGCACGGTCAATTTAATGGCTTAGTGAGACTCTGCTTCAAAACAAAAATTTTATAAAGGGTATGTAGCTCAGTGAGAAGGCCCTGGGTTCAATCTCCAGTACTACCACCATTAAATTAAAAAAAAAAAAAAAAATATATATATATATATATACATACATACACATACATATAGTATTTTTTTCATTTTGGGGTAGGAAATAAATAATAAGAAAACAAAAAATTATTTTTTAAATTTTGGATAAAGTCTTTATTTTCTTCATGGCAAAGGACAAATCATAAACCATGAGGAGAAAAAAATTAACATATTTGAAAAAACTGATTACCCAACATCGAAAGAGTACTTATAGCAAAGAAAAACATCAGAAACAGCATACGGAAATGGGCAATAAATAGAAAAAGTAACTGTAATAGGCCTTTAAGTAATCAAAGAGTTACAAATTAAAATAAAATGTGTTTGCTTATTAAATTCTCAAACACTTTAGTGACTATATCCAGTGTTAGTGAAGTATTGAGAAATTGGCCTTCACGTGCCATTGATGTGTTTGTAAACTGATAGAATCTTTGTGAAGAGGAATTTATAAGGATCCTTGTATCAGTTACTTTCTTATCACTGAAACACAATACCTAACACCCACAAGTCAAAAGAGAAGAGGTTTATTTTGGCTCACAGTTTGTAAAGATTTCAGTCTATAGTCCACTGGGTCCAAGGCAGGACAGCATGGCAGAGGATCATGGCAGAGGAGAGCTGCTCATGGCATGGCAGACAGAAAGCAGAGAGAGAAAGAGATCAAGAGAGGAACCAGGGAGGGAGATAAACCTTTCTAACCCACACTCCCATTGACCCACCTCTTCCAACCAGACCCCATCTCCTAACCACAAATCAACTATCATCTCCCATAATCCAATCATCTTCCAAAAGCCCTGCCTATCTCTGAGTGCCTGAGGCGTTTGGGGGACATCTAGATATAAAACAATTCATATGTCAGCTATTCCACTCCTAAGACTCAGTTCTACAGAAATATTCTAAGTATGCAAAGATAAAGCATATTCATTGAATCCAAGATGCTATTCTTACAAGATACACCAATATTTTACATATTAAGAAAAAATCCTGACAAGTAAATTAGATCACAATTATTTTTATATCTCATAGAATTAATATGGACTGGCTGAGTTTTTGCAAACCCATGTAGATACTATATTTTTATCATATATCATAAAACAAAATTATAACAAAAATTGGTTGGGACATTTCTAATGTGTCATCATATTTGGTATGTGACACTTATCAATCACTTTTTAATTAAGAGTTTCATTAAAGAGTGTCTGTGTTTTTCCACACATCCTATTTGCTATCTAGAGTTTTGATGAGGCAGGATTTCTTCAAAATGTACTCTATTTTCTCTAGGATTTTCTTATAACTCACTGATACTCATTTTGATGCTGTTGTATCTGTGGTTTTCTACATACACAATAACTTTTTGTCTCAATGACAATTCATGATATAACTTTTCTGAAAGTTTTAATAAGCAATTAAATCTAAGATATAAATAGTCCATAATTAAATAGAAGTAACACTTCTATAAGCAGCCATGACCAATTTGATGCATACAGGAGCAATGACAATTATGTCCATTGCAGATACCTGACTGCATAACAATTTTCATAGACATCAAAATGTGAAAAATGAGTATCTGAAAATCAATAAAATATAGTAAATGTATCTATAATAACAGCAGCATTCTCTGTAATTACAAAAAGCTGAAGGGAGGAAAAACTAAATATCCTTTCATAGTGGGTAAATTAATAAACTAGTATAATTTCATATAATGGAATGCCATGCTTCCCTCAAAAACTATGAGATGGTATTAATTTTTTTCTTTATTAGTATATGTTTATAGTATATAATATTTACATTCCTTGTGTGGAGTTGGTTCATTTGTATAACACATAATTTCTTTGTGAACTGGTATGAAAATATGCCCAATTGTAAATATTGTAAAAATTGAAAGATTGTAAAGCCAAAATAAAAAATAAAATAGAAAAGCAAGATAAAAAATGGTTCATACACAATCCATTTTTTTAAAAAAACTTACACACACACATATAAGCACATGTAACTTGACAGTAGTTGAGGGCTTGTGATTCCTGCTCACAAGAGACATCTCGGTGGGTCTTGGGGAGGAGGTGAATTTTCTTATTTGAGGTCCCCTTCTCTCCATTTAAAAGGCTTTGTGGTTTGAACCACAGGCAGGCTGAGGCCAGCATGAGCTCACTGGGAGAAAAAGATCCTGATTCAGCTCATTCTGAGTCCTTCCCACCATTCTAGGATCCTTTACTATGAAAATCCTTTGCATGCCCTTGACTCATACAAACCTTCTCTCGCTGGTTCATTTTTAGTGGCTACTCTCCTTTCTATTTCTCTCAACCCACAGGGACAATCTAATTTATAATCCTGACACAGAAAAACCAAACCTACAAGAATGCCTCAGAGAAGAGAAAATTTGGCTCTAAGTTCATCGAATTCTTTGGAACTTTGGTTCTGCTTCATTCATGTGGGACAGCAAGTCTGGGCAAGATCAGTCATTACTTCTCTGCTACCATGGTACTCTCCAAATACCACAATGACATTTAATGCACTGTATTGTTGATCCTTGTCTATCGTTCCTATTGAGCTGAGAGCTTCCTGAGTGGAGAAGTGTGTTCTTTGCCTTTGTGTTCCCAATGTCTAGGACAGTGCCAGGCATAGAATTTCTGGTTGTTTAAATGTAAGCAATTACCAATAAGGAATAAGTCAAGCAGCTAGCACTGTATTACTCCAATGAA